TGACTGGACAGCACCTAACAACATTTTTTATCACAGTTTTGTTCTTCGCTAAAATTTTCAGTCTTGTACTTTACCTCCTTGAGCATTATTAGTTATTTTACAGTCTGTCTGATAATTCCAACATCTGATGCCCTTCTGGTATTTGTTTCTGCTATCTATTGTTTTTACTGGTTTTCTTCATGTTATTTTGTCTGTTCATATGCCTGTTATTTTCATTTTTAGCTGGATGTTATATATGCAAACTTGTTTGTATAAATAACTCCAGGCCTACGATGATGCTATCGTGCTCCTCACGTAATTTATGTTTGCTTCTGTTAGGCCCCTGGGGACACTGAAAGGAGACATCTCAACCCAATTTTAGAAATTGAGAGTATCTGAACTATTTCTGGGAGGGGCCACACACTTCTGGTTTAGTCTTACTTCTTTTTTTTTGTTTGTTTGTTTAGATGTTTAATCCAGTGAAGATAATATGAAGGCATATAACAATATGCGAGATATACTTTTTTTAAACAATCATTTTTATTTTATTTTATTTTTTTAAATAGAAATTTAGTAGTCTTCATTACAATCTTGAATGGATCTTAAGAACACCTTCGCAAAACTCTTGGGGGTTGTCTAACCACAGATTTGAAAACTTCTACAGTAGTGCATACTTATTGTTTAAAAATAAAATTCATACGAAGATTGTTTTGAATGTGCTAATAAACTTAGTGCGTTTCAGTCTTCATAAGAAATCATGAGTGTGTTTGTAGTTCTATTAGTTATCTAATGTCAGATTTGACTCTGAAAACTGTTTCCTTGTGAAGTGTGTTAGAGGAGGGGAAGCGCTGCCATTTGTTACTATATATCATATTTAAATACTAGGTGGTGCTGTTGAGGTATTTGTTTTTTTTGTTTGTTTATTGTTGTAGTTTAAGTGAAAATTTACATTTCAGGTTAGTCTCTTTTACAAAAATTTATACAAACATTGTTATGTGACCCTAATTTCTCTCCCTATACTGTGACAGCACATTCCTCCTTTCCACCCCTGATTCCCCATGTCTATTCAACCAGTTCCTAACCCTCTCTGCCTTCTCATGTCACCTCTGGACAGAAGCTGCCCATTTAGTCTCATGTATCTACTTGAGCTGAGAAGCACACTCTTCACAAGTATCCTTTTATGTATCACAGTCCAGTCCAATCTTTGTCTGAAGAGTTGGCCTCGGAAACTGTTTTGGTTCTGGGCTGATAGAGAATCCAGGGACAATGCTTTCCGGGGTTCCTCCAGTCTCAGTCAGACCATTAAGTCTGGTCTTCTTACTAGAATTTGAGTTCTGGACCCCACTTTTCTCCTGCTCCATCAGAGACTCTCTGTTGTGTTCTCTGTCAGGGCAGTCATTGGTGGTAGCCAGGCACCATCTAGTTCTTCTGGTCTCAGGCTGATGAAGTCTCTGGTTTATGTGGCCGTTTCTGTCTCTTGGGCTACTACTTTCCTTGTGTCTTTGGTGTTCTTCATTCTCCTTTACTCCAGGTGGTTGGGATCAATTTCATCTTACTTCTATTATCAGTGGAATAGCAAGGGTAGGAAGGAGATTGAAGTGGTCATCCTGAGGACTGGCAATAAGAGCTGTACTGTCTATAGAGCATTTATAAACAATAATAAAAATGAGTACGGTTGATTTTTATTATCATCATATGCAAGCAATTCTAGATGTCAGTGGTAAAATATTCTTCCCTGCTGGGGCCGATCACTCCTGTTGCCTCCTTTAGTAGATCACCGGACTGTAAGTAAACTGTCCCTCTAGACCAGGGGTTGACAAACAGTAGCCCATGGGCCAAATTCCTCCCACAGCCTGTGTTTGTAGGGCTTTAGTGCAAAGAATAGGTTTTACATTTTTAACAGGTTGTAAAAAAACGAAAATAAAAAATAATAGGCAATGGAGAATGTAGCTCTCAACACCTAAAATATTTACTATCTGGTTCTTTAAATAAAAAATTGTTGATCCTTGCTCTAGACTCAAGGAGCTGTCAAAAAGCAAATGACCCTAGCCAGAAGAACCCCAAAGGCCAGGATCACCTCCCTGCTGTGTTGGGCTCTGGTAGTTTTTCACCCTTTTCAACCATTTACATTTTTTTTTTTTTTTATTGTCCACATATTTTAGTTCTCAATAGAAAGGTTGGTCTGAATTATCTGGTCCACCATCCCTTCTTTTCTATTCAAGTTAAAATGAAGTGGGCCTAAAAGTAGAAGGGGAATAGAAGATTCCAAGGGTTTAACATTTTATTAAATTTTTAACTCACATTATCTCCTCCTGGAGTCCCCGGAGTGGAAGAAGCTAAGACACCAGCATTTTAAAGAGCAGCAGTGTCACCTGTGGTAGACAAGTTTCAGAGGCACTTCTAGACTAAGATAGACGAGGAAGAAAGGCCTGATAATCTACTTCTGAAAATCAGCCAATGAAAACTCTGTGGATCACAACAGAATACTGTCAGATAAAGTGCTGGGAGATGAGTACCATAGGTTGGAAGGCACTCAAAATATAGTGACTTCAACAATAGACTCATGCATATCAACCATCCTGAAGGTGGGGCAAGGCTTACATGCGTATCAACCATCCTAAAGATGGAGCAGGTCTGCAAAATTTACATGGGATCACCATGAGTCAGAATCCACTCCAGGACTGCAACTAATAACATGCTAGCTTAGGTGTCTTGGACAAGGGTGGACCAGGAAGCACCTTGGAGATGGTGAAGAGGTCAGGCAGTCACATGAACTGAATACTTCTCTGGGTCAAGACATATAGGAGGCAAAGAGAGATTGCCAAACACTTTTGGGAGACACAGTCCTTGCCCTCAGCTTTAGTGTTTAATTACAAGAAACTCACACCACATACCTAAAGGTGCGATATAAACACAAAGCAACCACTAAATCAGTACATACTAGGTGGCTAAATAAGCGCAAAGGAGAACTGCAAAAGAGAATAAATGGAAGAGGAGATTGTGGGACCTTCTTTAGCCGTGAGGGGCACTTGGTTTTCCACAAGAAGCAGAGGGTCTAGGGGAGGGGCGATGCCTGCCCACACCGTACCCCATCGCCCTGCATGGCTGCCTCAGCTGCAACGTCTAAGAATCTGGCTTCAGGCTCCAGTTTCTCCACTCCTGAGCAGTGGAGCTGGTGACTCAGGGGAGGTCCCTCCCGGCACGCCGCATTCTCGGCCATGAGTGACTCATTGCCTCACTCCCTCCCTCGCGGGTGCCCCCCGGCCAATTCCTTAAAGTGTCTACACCTCACCCTTCTCTTCTGGCCGGGACAATTTGCCTTGTGGAGTTTTTAGCTCCCCAGTGGCAGGGCTCCTTTCTGTAGCCCTGGGAGGTTCCTCAAGAGAGGCTTTCCTAGGGTCAGAAAGAGCATAAAACCCTTGTGTAGACCCAGGGTCCCAGGCCCTCCCGGTGCACCGAGGTGGAGGGTTTAATGCCCCTGCTGGAGCATTCTTTTAATTTTAGAGCCATCCAACAGCATTTCATCTAGACTATAGTTTCGTAAGCACTGATGTCTTGGAGGATGTTTTTTTTCTTTATGGATACCTCCTTGTAAAAACTTGCTTGTTAAACAACAAAAAAAAAAACAGCCCGAGTTGTCCCCAAAGTCTGCAAAACAGACAACAAAGGCACTGGGAAGAGACCGAGCGGGGGCTGAGGGGCGGTCCTCCGCTTTTTTGGGGACCTATGCAGCTGAATGCCTGGGCTCCGCGGGGCAGGGGGAGAGTGCGCGAGCACGCAGGGCGACAGCACCGCACGCCGGACGGTCTGACAGAGGGCGGGAGGAACGGCGAGAGACCTCCGCTCCCCTGCAAAGAGCCCGCGGGCCAGACCAGATGCTCGGGGGCGAGGGCACTGGGGGATGCGGGGTCACTCGCCTAGGTTACGGATCCCCCGGCCGGCGTGTCGGCGCCCCCTACCTCTCAGCGCACCCCGTCGCACGGGACGAATCCGTGCGTTCCACCAGGGGCAGGAGGAGGCGCCCGCGGTCCTCCCCACGCTCCGCCACTTGGGTTCGCGGCCCCACTGGGACCAGGCAGGTGGACCCAGGCTGGCGCATCCTCCTCCGCGCAGGGAACCCTACCCCAGCCCGGCGCGCCACTGCACCCGGCCCGCAGCCTGCGCCGCTGCGTTACCAGCCCCGGGAAGTCACCGTGCGCAGCCCCGACTCCAGAAGGGTGGATCCCGCTGAGCCCAAAGCCACATTCCTAGGGGAGGGGTCCCCCCCAGGGTCGCGGATCAGGTTACTGGCCGAGGGCTGGAGACCGCGGGAGGAAGAACTAACTGGGGTTGGGAGTTGTATTTAGAATATTACTTTTTTTTTTTCTTTTTTAAACGCGCTTGGACGCTGGTGGACTCCGGTACACTGCGTCCGCGCAGGTCCCGGAGTCCGGTGGCCCCCGAACGATTTGCCAGGACCCAGGCACCTTTCTGCCTGCGGATGCGGGAGGCCACGAGCCCGCTGGGCTGCAGGGGCTAGTGGGCTCCCGAAGCCCCCGCCGAGCCCTGGAGCCTCGGGTGCCCGGGAGCGGAGGTGGCCGCAGGAGCGCCCGCCGTGCACCAAGTACATCGAGCACTAACGACACACAAATGCGCATAAATATATCAATGAGCAGCTCTCGGCTGCCAGCAGCAGGGAAACCTCGGGGTGATTAAATGCAGACGTGGGGCGTTTGCCAGGGCAGGAGGGCAGCGCGGCAAAATGCACCGTCGTGGAGGCGAGGGGTGGGGGGAAGGGAGACCAGGGGCAGAAAAAAAAGAAAAAGGAAAATCCAAAGCCACCTTTCAGAAAAGAGGGCAAGTTTTAAACGCAAACCGCCCCGACGGAGTGGGTGGGACCGGGCTGCTGGCGAAGGGTCCCACCCGCACACAAGGGGCAACTTTCCGGCGCGGGAGGTGCGGCCGGAGGAGGCGGCGCCCGCGGCGGGAGGCGGGAGTCGGGGGCTGGGGTGGGGAGTCACTTTAAAGGCTCTTTCTTACCCATAATGCTTTGTGGGGACGTTGACAAGTGGATCCAAGATGGCGTAGAAAGTAATGACAGGTAAGTCCTGACTTCCCCCTTATCTGCTGCCGGGACCGCTCCGCGAGCTACCGGGGCCCTCTAGGGGGGGCCTGACCCCCCTCCTACCCCCCCAGGTCCGGAGAGAGGCGTCCCGGGGGCAGGCTGGGGGCTGGGGCGGCCCGCGGCGGGGCCTGGGGAGCGGGGCTCTTCGAGGCGAGGCCCGGACGCAAGGGCTGTTTACAGCTTTTTCTCCTCCTCGGTCCCCTTCCCCTCCGCTGGGGGCTGCGGCGCCCTCGGCCCGACCCAAAGAGGGGGCCTTGCAAACCGGGCCCGGGAGCCTGCGGGACGTTTTCCCAGCCCGTGGCACTCCGGGAGGGGGAGTCGAGCCTTCTTGCACGCTCCCCTTCTCCGGGTCCCGGCTGGGGGTGGGGAGCGTGCGGGCCTCCCAAGCCCCGCGCGATTCTTCTTTCAGGACTCGGACTTCCATGGGGTAGGGTGTGGGTATCTGGAAAAGTGGGTCAGGGGCGCGCCCCTTCCCTCCCCCGCTGCGGGTTGTTTGCCAGAGATTCACTTTCTTCCCCCCTTCCCCGCCCCCTCCTCGGAAATTCTCATTGGCCCACAAGCGCATCAACAAAAATAAAAACAGACTATTCTTTCCTGAAAATTTCTTTAAGAGTTCCCTTTCCAAGGGCTGAAAGACTGCAGTCCTATCTAAGGAATTTTGATTCCTCTCCCCCCAAATCATTTACTCCTTCTGCACCGTCCCTTTTGCTGAGTATCCTTAAGGCAGGCCTGGAAGCCAGGGTCTTCTGATTCTTCTTGGATTGGGATTCTCAGGTTTTGTTTGGAACTCAAAAATTGGCCTTCCTTCTCCCTCACAACATACACTTTTCAAGCAAATCATTAATATAGTAAAAAGTACAACTCCTCCTGGATCGGGGACGCGGGTGGGGGGGCAGGGGTAATTGTCCTGGTCAGTTTGTTCTTAATGTTGCCCTCTCTTAAGCTCATATTAATAAGGTTTCTCCTTCTGTATTTTTTTTTTTTTTTTGAAAGTAAAGTCAATCAGTGCTGAGATGACTTTTTTGGTAATGTTTCTGATTTTAACAACATTTTATGATCTATCATCTCACTGAAAAGAAAATGTTTTTTATTTTAGAGTAAAAGAAACAGAGACTCGTTTGCAAAGCTGCATACTGTACCATTTTGGTAACTTTTCCATTTGAAATTTAGATGCCCTTTCACTTCAGGCAGATAAAATGTTTGCTCCTGATAATGTCTATTATTGGTGTTGTGTAGACAAATTTTACTTTTTTATTTGCCTCAGGAATTGGATGAAGTAATTGATCACTAATGAACTACAGTGCTGGTGAGATGTGTCAGGTGAGGTGGCAGTTAAAAATTATTTCTTTTTTCCTTCTTTATGTTAATCAACTCATAATGGTAAGGCTGAAACTTTACAATTTAATGGGCCATCTTTGTTTTTCAAAAATAATACTCAGTCAAATGGGTGTACAGACACGGCTAGATTTAGAGGGGACAGATGTGTCTAATGTGTACCAAACTTTTCAGTGGCTCCAGCATATGCAAACATAGTGGAACTTATCCAGAGCCAACTGTTGTACGCAGCTATCCTTGATCCGTATCTTCAACAGGGGTAATTATAGTTTGCCTATTTAAATTTCCATGTGTAACTGTGATTGGATGTCTTAATTTTATCTGTGTTTTGGTGTCCATAGCTTACTTTAAACTGAGTATTAGTCATTGTGGATGTGGGTTTTGTGCATCCATAGTTTGTGGGACTCTTGTACACTCTTTCTATTGGAATTAGTTATTTTATGCAAATCAGTCACCCCTACTTTTATTTACTGAAAAATGAAATAGTACCTGTCTGTCTTACAGTTATTTTGATATGAAAATGATTGTGTTGAGTTCTGTTTAGCTTATTAGGGAGAAGGCTGATTTGCCATTATTTTCTGGTCACACTTGGCATTTGAATACTTTAAGGAACTCAAGGTGATGCTTTTATTTAAACTTGTAATGCTTTGGATTAAAGGACATTATTGATACAGTGTTAGTGAACAGCATTCTGTGCTGAGGGGAGTGGGGAAAGAGAGAAGTTCGCTAATTTTGTATTTTTCCCAAGCAGTTTTCTCTTTACTTCAAAAATATTTTTATTATGGCTTATTTAGAAAAATGTAAGTAATCATGGTAGATCGATTACTGCAGGTTTTTTTGTTTTCCCTCTTTAACACATCCGGGCAGCTTCTGGATTTTGAAATCATGGCACAAACTTTTCCTGTCTATTAAAACATCTGTTTAGGAAGAATAAGCTGTGCTTTATTATTAGTATTATTATTTTTACCTGTAGGCATATAGTTGACATTTTGCCTTAAAAAAACTTGGGACAGGAAGGTGGACATAAACAAAGATATTTTTTAAAGTGCACACACCACATCTGCTTATGTTCAAAACTCAGCAGTGCCTGTGTGTATTACATATAATTTTTATTTGTATTGTTGACAGGGCAAATACCGATTTTTTTAATTTGTATTTTTTTCCAGATTGCAGATGGAGGCATATTTGTGCCTCATGCTGCCCAATTTCAACCTTTTATCTTAGTTTTAGAAATTTACAGATTACTTTGTGGCAAGCAACCAATGATCCACTTTTTGGTTGTGGAGGTGTTCATTTGTAGTCTAGAACTGAATATTTCCAAGTTGCTAATCTTGTGTGCTTGGCCTGAAACGTGCCAATACATTTTCCATAATTTTCACACAAGTAGACCATGTGAAGTGTTAGTATCCGCTTTAAAGTGAAGGTAGTAGTTGACCACCAAACAACTTGCTACACAAAGTATTCTCGAACAGGAAATACCATAGTATTGAAGGTTGTGGTGAAGTTGTTGTCTGTGCCATTGAGCTGAATAAAGACATAGCTGTTTTAGTCTGTCCTTTTGGCTGGGAAGCTAGGACACTATTTTTAGGTAAGGCCTTGGTTTTTGGGAGTCAGTAAGGACATTTCTATTGGCTTGTAAACTTGATTTTTGCAATTGTATAATGAGAAGTTTCATTTTCTAATGGCATAAATATTAAATCTATATTATTTTGAAGTCTGTCAACATTTATACACTGTCCTCTGTTTCACTGGAGAGGGTAGGCATGCCAGAACAACAGGAGAAATCCCTATTTGCAAAGGGTTTTGTCTAATTGAAAAATATACAGCACATTCATGAAAGACTATTTCAGAGGGACCTACAGATAAGTAGACCAGATCTTAGAAATGCGTTTTGTTCTCTGATTGAGAAGTAGACTTGGCATTAATATTGAATGCAGATTAGTTTATAATTGCCTGTCAGACTACATAAAAGATCCAAATATGGGCCCAGCACAAGAAATAAGGTCCTTTGCCTGTTGTTTCTAGAAGGTTTTGGGCAAAGTTTATCAGCAGTAGTTATCCAAAAGAGGGGGAGAAACTACTTAAAAGATTATAAGCATATTGCTATAATAGTTTGTTTTAGAAACTTAGGTAAATGTACATGCAAATGTAATTTGATTTCTAAGTAATATTTTGAAGTGTTTTCTAGAAGAAAAGTATGATATTTGTGGATAGTGTAGGCACACCAGCTTACAATTCATTGAAATTGGGTATAGTCAGGATTACTTCTGTAGCATTGGCTAGAAGAAGCATAAAACATGATGGTCTATCACTTCTAGGATGGCTAGGGTGATGCTTTTCAGTTATCCTAGAATAATTTAATAAAGTTAGTATTCTTTTTTAAAAAAGAGTATTATAGCTGTAACAGGAAGAAAGTATATATATACATATATATATGTATATATTCCTATCAGTTGTCTAAAACTAATTGAAAGTTTTTCAGGATAATACCAAACAGTCATACTGCCTTGTTTATTCTTGTAAATTGTACTGGATCAGTTTCTCCAAAAAAGCATAGGAAGGTGTCTGGTAAAGCCAGAGTTTATACATTCATCTTGCTTTAGAACAAAAAAAGAACCCGCTTTATCAGCAGGTTCATCAAAGAATGCATGGCATATTTTTTGACTGAACCATTTTGAAGTGTGAATGTTTATGATTTTTGTAACTTCCCTGTCATATTTTAGGTGTTCTTGGCACTTCTGAATTTGCCATTTTACTGTGGAAATTCCCCTTATGGTGCACATATTCCTAAAGGCGAGCTTCCTGTCAGTAGGCAATATGTGTAACTAATATAGTTTTAAAAAACTTGTTTATTTTTATTCAAAACTGGTGCATGCTTATGGTAAGCAATTTGAGCAGTACGTAACTGTGTAAAGTAAAAAAGTTAAAAAAAAAAAAAAAAAGCCTCTATTCTCATTTATCTTTAGTCCTGCTTCCCTGAGCTGACCACATGTAACAGTTGGGTATCGTTTAGCATTTGGAAGCTCTCTCTTCCCAAGGTATACTGGGAGCAGTGAAAGTTAAGTGTGAAGAGCTGGTAATTGAACCAAAGTTTAGATGTTGTACAGGGGTCTGTTCTGCTCTTATTTCCTGTGATGTTAACAATGTTGCTAATCTCAAACTACCATCATTTTAAGATAACTGCAATTGAGTTGTTAGTGAAACCCTGAAACAGTTAGTTCCGTTGTCAGGTTGGTAAAGTTTTGATTTGTTGATCTTTTAAGAAAATATTTGTGAATTGAATTCATGTAATCTTAGGGCTAGGAGGTAAGGATGGTAATGAGTTACTGTCTGTTGAATTTTGTAATAAGCTGCATAGTATCTTTACTATAAACTTTTTTTTATAACATTATCATCTCCTTTAATTCTCATAACAAGTCACAAGATGATTGTTGTTATTTCTGTCTTTCAAGGGAGAAAATTTAGGCTTAAATGTGACGCAACTCCAGAATTAGATTGTAGTGCGTGTGGAATTTAGTATGTGATAAAGTTGGCATTGTTAAGTGAAAAAAAGCAAAGTGCAAAAAAAAAAAAAAGTATCAGCACATATCCATTTGTGTATGTGTTATTATATAAAGAAGATAATATTTTGAACATTAAAAAACAAAACAAAAGTGCGAAACAACTAATCTAACATCATGAGGCCAAGGAGTAGTGGAGCTAGTGCTCTATGTGAAAAGTCTGTGTTCCTTCCGTTGTAATGTCTCTGCTGTTTCTATCCAGTCTGTTTTGTTTTCCAGAGGAGGAAACAGACCTGGTGAAGTTAAGTGACTTGCCCAAGGTCATACAGCTAAATAGTAGCAATATTAAGCCAAATTCTTATCTCTGGACGAGTTGGTTATGCTACATTTTATTGAAATACTGTGGACCACAGGACCATATGCTGTGAAAATTGGATACAAACGCTTCAGAGCTGATACATCAGCAAATGGTGTTTTCTACTATGTATTTAAAAACTTGCTTTTCTCTCTTTCAGAAATTATAAAGAGCTCTGATGGGCTATTTGGGTGATACCCAGCGCAGTGAACTGCAGGTGAGTAAGGTTTAGGAGACCATTATTTAGAAAAGAACTTTGCAATACTGGGAAAAGAGACAAGAGATCTAATCCAGACAAGAGTATCTGGCTGGAGGAGGATGACATGAGACAGAGTGGGGTGATGAAGGGCGGTATTGAAACAGTGCTTAACCTGAAGATATGGGACCTAACTGAACTGATTACTTCTGGGACAGACCAGATAATGAACATACCCTGAAGAGACTGCTCACTGCTTTGTCAGAGGAGTTGTTTGAAGAGAATTGAGGGTTGGTTAATCTTCTACTTCTGTTCAGGATGAGTAACGGCACAGGGGCTCAACCAGTCTGCATATCTTGGGAACCTGAGAGGTCTTTCAGTTTTTGTGTCAACATTCTTAACCAGTAATCGCCCCGTGCTCTGATGAATTTGGTTAAGGACTGAGTTGTTTGTTTTCCCTGTTATCTGCTGTGGATGTATTGTCATTCATGATTTTATATATCTGCACTTTCGAGAATCTAAATACTGAGAACATTTCAACAGAAACAAAAGGTTGAATTTTTTATCTAATGGTTATACTACCTCCGTCATATGCTGATAGCCCTTCAAAATTATTTATCTTTTGCTGAAACAACCTGCTGATTAAAGAAAACTGAAGTTTGGTCTTGGGTATTTGTTCACAGTAACAAATCTTCTTGAACCATTATAGTATTTTGGTTTTTCATTATTAAACTTAGAAAATGGTGATAATACAGAAGAATATAAGAGTTGGAAAACTTTGACTTTTAAGATTGTCCTTTTGGGGCATTAGTACTAAGTTATTTTTTGGTCAGTTTTCAGTACTAGTGTTTTGTTAGACACCTCCAAGTCCAGAAAGCATCAGCTTTTGATAGAATGACTTGCAATACTGCATTTGGACTCTGGCTTTATAAGATTTACAAGAACAACACGACGTTTTACCCATCTGCTTTAAGCTAGAATTTTTAACTTTCTCTTCTTGGTTGAAAAAAAACAAAACCCACAAAACTATAATTTAAAGAAAGAAATTCCTTTTTTTTTTTTTGCTTTTAATTATACCCAGGTCTCTTGGCCCCTATTTCTTTGATTTGCCTGTGAGTCCATATTGCCTTTTAACTGCGATACAGTCGATTCCCTCAAGATCCCCAGTGACATTAATGTGGCAGTACTATATACTTTTAGGATTTACAGTTAAACTCGGACTTGGCTACTTGCTGATTGTTGAAGTACTATATGATTGTAGGAGGTTCTTTGTTTCTTAAGTATATGTATGTTTTGCATGATGCCTCTCCCACAGGTTCATGGGGATGATCAGAAGACCAGCTGAGGTGGTTTGTTGGTCCCTGGAAAGGTGGGGTTTGGGGTAGTCATAGGTCATTGTTGGAGAGCCTGAGAGCTCTCAGTCAAGGCCAAAGTGAGCACTAGAAGGGAGAGGTAGACCTTAAAAATATATCAAGTTTGTCCCCTGGGACGCTTCTGTTTCCTAAGTATGGTAGAACTTTTCTTCTTAAATTATAAAGTAATCTAAGGAGTAATATTAAGTAAATTGTTAAATGTTACGGTTACTACCCTAAAACAGTTGATTCTTGTTGCCATTTTATAAAAAAAAATATATATATATATATTTTAATTACGGTTCATTATAATTTATATTTCTATTTATTTTATCATGAAAGAGTTCCATGTTATAGCTTTCACAATATTAATTAGTATGTTTACATTTTGAAAGATTACAAAGTATTTCATCAAGTCATGCTCCCATAATTTACCTACATCCTTTTGTGTTAGGTATTTATGTTGTTGCTGGTTTTCATTTAATGCTTTAATCCACATCATTGTGGATATTATTATTTTTATATACATACATACGTATATGTATATTTTATTGTGCTTTAGGTGAAAGTTTTCAGAGTGAATTAGTTTCTCGTTAAATAATTAATACACAAATCGTTTTGTGACATTGGTTGCCAACCCCGTGATGTGTCAACACTCTTCCCTTTCCACCCCAGGTTCCCTGTTTCCATTTGTCCAGTTTTCCTGTCCCTTCTTCCCTTCTCGTCTTTGCATTTGGGCTGGTGTGCCCATTTAGTCTCGTATACGTGATTGAACTATGAAGCATGTTCCTCACGTGTGTTACTGTTTGCCTTATAGATGTGTCTGATCTTTGGCTAAAGGGTGAACCTTGGGAGTGACTTCAGTACTGAGTTAAAAGGGTATCCGGGGGTCATACTCTTGGGTTTCTCCAGTCTCTGTTAGATCAGCAGGTCTTTTTTTTGTGAATTTGAATCTTGTTCTACATTTTTCTCCCACTCTGTCTGGGACCCTTTATTGTGATCCCTGTCAGAGCAGTCAGTGGTGGTAGCTGGGCACCATCTAGTTGTTCTGGGCTCAGTCTGGCAGAGGTTGTGGTAGTTGTGGTCCATTAGTCCTTTGGACTAATCTTCCCCTTGTGTCTTTGGTTGTCTTCATTCTCATTTGCCCTAGCCGGGGTGGGGCCAGTAGAAGTATTTTAGATGGCCACTCGCAGGCTGTTAAGACTCCACACGCTACTCACCACAGTCAGATGTAGAACATTTTCTTTATAAACTATGCTATACAGTTGAGCTAGATATCCCCCGAGACCATGTTCCCCAGCCCTTAGCCCAGTAACTCAGTCCCTTAGGGAGTTTGGATGTGTCTGTGAGGTTTCTATGACTTTGCCTTGGTCAAATTGTACTCACTTCCCCAGTATTGTGTACTATCTTCCTCTTCACCAGAGTTACCAGTTATCTGCTATCTAGTTAGTGTTTTTCCCTCCCATCCCTCTTAACCATCAAAGATTGTTTCTTTCTGTGTGCAAACCTTTTTTTGAGTTTTTATAGTAGTGGTTGCATACAGTATTTGTCCTTTTGTGATTGACTTATTTCACTCAGCATAGTGCCTTCCAGATTCATTCATGTTGTGAGATGTTTTGCAGATTCATCGTTGTTCTTTATCATTGTGTAGTATTTCATTGTGTGTGTGTGTACCATAGTTTATCCATTCATCTGTTGATGGGTGCTTAGGTTGTTTCCATCTTTTTGCTATTGTGAATAATGCTGCAGTGAACATGGGTGTGCATGTGTCTATTCGTGTGACAGCTCTTATTTCTCTAGGATATATTCCTAGTAGTGAGATTGCTTGATCATATGGTATTTCTATTTCTAGCTTTTTAAGGAAGTGCCATATTGTTTTCAAAATGATTGTACCATTTTGCATTACCGCTAGCAGTGCCTAAGAGTTCAATCTCCCCGCAACCTCTCCAACATTTGTTATTTTCTGCTTTTTTGAATGTTACCAGTATTGTTGAGGTGAGATATCTCACTGTAGTTTTGATTTTTATTTCTCTAACAGCTACTGATGGTGAGCAGTTCCTCATGTGTTTGTTAACTGCCTGAATGTCTTCTTTGGTGAAGTGTCTGTTCATATCCTTTGCCCATTTTTTAATTGGATTATTTGTCTTTTTGTTGTAGAGGTGTTGGATTTTCATATAGATTTTAGAGATTAGACCTTTGTTGGATATGTCATAGCCACATTTTTTTTCCCAGTGTGTAGGTTCTCTTTTTACTCTTTTGGTGAAGTCTTTTGATGAGCATAAGTGTTTAATTTTTAGAAGATCCCAGTTATCTAGCTTATCTTCTGGTGTTTATATATTGTTAGTTATGGTTTGTAGTCTATTTATGCCGTATATTAGGGCTCCTACCGTTTCTTCCATGACCTTTCTAGTTTTTGGTTTTATATTTAGGTCTGTGATCCATTTTGAATTAGTTTTTTTGTATAGTGTGATGTAGGGGCCCTGTTTCATTTTTTTACAGATGGACATCCAGTTTTGCCAGCAACATTTGTTAAAAAAACTGTCTTTTCCCCGTTTAATGCACCTTGGGCCTTTGTCAAAGACCAGGTGGCTATAGGCAGATGGATTTACATCTGCGTTCTTGATTCTGTACCAGTGGTGGGTGTGTCTCTGTCTTTGTACCAGTACCAGCCTGTTTTCATTACCGTAGCTGTACAGTAGGTTCTGAGGTAAGGTAATGTGAGGCCTCCTACTTTGTTCTTCTTCAGTAGTGCTTTGCTTATCTGGGGCCTCTTTCCTTTCCATATAAAGTTAATGATTAGTTTTTCCATCTCATTAAAGAATGCTGCTGGTATTTAGATCGGGATTGCATTGTATTTGTAGATTGCTTTGGGTAGAATTGACATTTTCACAATGTTGATTCTACCTATCCATGAACATGGTATGTTTTTCCATTTATGTAGGTTTCTTACAGGAGTGTTCTGTAGTTTTCCTTGTATAGGTCGCTTACGTCCCTGGTTAGATTTATTCCTTAGAATTTTATTTTTTTTAGGGGCTATTATAAATGGCATTGCTTTCCTGATTTCCTTTTCGTAGTTCTCTTTATTGGTATATAGGAACCCAACTGATTTATGTATGTTTATCTTGTATCCTGCTACTCTGCCGAATCTATGAGTTCCAGTAGTTTCCTTGTGGAGTCTTTTGGGTTCTTTGTGTATATTATCATATCATCTGTGAATAGGGATAGTTTTACTTCTTCCTTACCGATTTGGATGCCCGTTATTTCTTTTACTTATCTTATTGTTCTAGCTAGGACTTCAGCACAGTGTTAAACAGGAGTGGAGATAAAGGGCACCCCATAGTGTCGCTATGAGTTGGAATCGACTCGACAGCCACGGGTTTTGGTTTTGATTTTGTTTTGTTCTCTTCTTAGGGGGAAACGTTTTCAGTCTCTCTGTTGAGAATGATGTTAGCTGTTGGTTTTGTTTAGATGCCCTTTATTATGTTGAGGAATTTCCCTTCTATTCCTATTTTATTGAGAGTTTTTATCAGGAATGGGTGTTGGACCTTATTGAATGCCTTTTCTGCGTTGATTGAGATGATCATGTGATTCTTTTGTTTTATCTATGTGGTGGATTTATGTTGATTGATTTTTTAGTGTTGAGCCATCCTTGCATACCTGGTAGGAATC